GGGCTGGGGGGGCACCTGATAAAGTAGAGGAAGGAAAGAAGATTTTTATAACAACTTTGGGATTTCTAGAACAGCCTTTCCCTGGGGCCACTGGGTCTGGGGGGATGGGGTGAGGATCCCACATATGAAATCTCACAGCAGACCAGGGAAGTTATGCTAACATGGCTCTCTGAACTACGGGGTCTTCAGAAGCCCCCCATCACAAAACACCCCTGCGGTATCCCAGAGCAACCACAAGTAGGCAGGGCAGAAAGCAGCTGGGGTGGAGACGGTGAGTACAGCAGAGTCATGGGGGGCAGCCAGTTGCATCCAATGGGAGAAACTGAGACCCAGAGAAGAGAAGGGTCTTCCTTGAGGTCACATGACCAATAACCAATGAAATGAGTACCAGATTCCAAACCCAGAGCTCTCACCTCAGGGCCAGAGGTGGAACTATTTTAACTTCATCAGAGAGCAATGTAAAAGCTGAGACCACTCTTTACTAATTTCTCATCATTTAGCTAAATAGGTTTTCTAACCTAGCCATCTGTGATGGTGAATTTTATGTGTCAACTTGACTGGCCACAGGATGCCCAGATTAAACATTTCTGGGTGTGTCTGTGAGTGTGTTTCTGGATGAGAACAGCATTTGAATCAGCAGACTCAGTAGAATGCCCTCCCCATGGAGGTGGGCATCATTCAATCCATCGAGGATCTGAATAGAACAAAAGGCAGAAGGAGGAGGAATTTTCTACCTGCCCACGCCCCCAATCCCAGCTTCTATTTGTGCTGGGACATATCCTCTCATCTTTTCCTGTCCTCTGACTGGGGTTTACACCATCAGCTCCCCTGGTTCTCAGGCCCTCAGACTTGGACTGACTTACAACACCAGCTTTCCTGGGCCTCCAGCTAGTGGACAGCAGACCGTGTGACTCTACATACATGTCCTATTGGTTCTTTTTCTCTGGAGAATCCTAATACAGCACCTATGCTTTTAATTAAGACGTCATTCCTAAAAGATTAAATACCTACCTACTATGTGTCAGGCACTCTGCTGGGTGTTAGTGGGAAAAGTTTTCATAAGACAAAATATACGGTACCCATTCTGATAGCACTCCTGGGAAACAACGGTGTTCTGCCATGGACTAAACTGGGAGCTCAAGTTTTCCTTTAATCCAGAGGTTCTCAACCTTGGCTGGCTATTGGAATCACTCGGGGAGATCTGAAACCTCTGTTCCTGGGTCCCACCCCCAGAGTGTGGGCTGTAGCCTGGGCATCAGGATTTTTAAGCACAAGAGGGATTTGCTAATTATTCACTAACAAGACTTAATTGTGGATATAAAGCTTTTTTTTAAAAATGAGTGACTGGTCTTTTTTTTTCCCCTCCCCAAAGCCCCAGGACACAGGTGTATGTTCTAGTTGTAAGTCCTTCTAGTTCTTCTATGTGAGCCACAGCCACAGCATGGCTACTGACAGACGAGTGGCCTGGGTCTGTGCTTGGGAACCGAACCCGCGCTGCTGAAGTGGAGCGCGCTGAACTTTAACCGCCAGGCCATCAGGGCTGGCTCTAAAGCATTGCTTTTCAGTCATGATTTCTAACTTGCTCATTTTCAAAATTAATGTGATGCAGCTGATGGCGTACAAGACCTAAAACAGACCATTTAAAGAAATATTAAAAATGGGAAATTTCAAGAGAAGAAGAGAAACAATCTGTGGTGAAGGAATTATAATTGAGCACAAAACCTAGCCCTAAATTTTTCAGAGCAAATGAGCAAAGGTGAACAGGAAGGGTCATGGTGCCATGACAGCTGATAAAAGGAAGCCTATGAGGATAAACACCCCCAAAACTACTTTCTGTCAAATAGTTCTAAGAGGACAGGTGAGAAATATTTGGATGAGTAAGGCAGCTAAACCCACAGACGCCTTGTGACTAATCAATGGCCGAGGTGCTCCGAAGTCAGCTAACCGCCAATTTGAAGGAGGACCTCTCTTTCCTGAAGGTCTCTGGGCTTCCCTGGAATGACCCTCAAAAAAGGAAGCTGGGAAGCAGGCCAGAAGGGACTGTTATCCAGCTGTCTCGGGCAACCTTTCTACCAAAGCCCACGCAAGGAACAAGAAGCCAGTTCACCACAGGACTTAACCGTGTCCATGTTCACAGAATGCTCTGTTTAAGCGGAGAGCCATCTGATAGACACAGTGTGCCTGCACCCTGGACCTTTGGTTCAAGTTCATTTTCCTTAAGCTCAGATTCTCAGCAGGCGACAGACTCTGCTTTGGGTAAGGCAGTGAGAGCTGCAGTTCAGAAACCCCGATCAAGGCACCCTAGAGGATGCCTGGTCAAGGGGGACTTACGGGGGGTTGTCACATTTCCTCTGCCGGAAGCGGGCTCCTGTCCCACACGTCCGGCTGCACATGCTCCAGGCACCCCATGGACTCCAGTCTCCGTCCACGTGCTCCGGGATGGGCGTCTTGCTCACGCACTCCCCGGCGCGGCACCACTGAAACACAGGAGGGTGGGCCGTGGGCCCAGGGGCACTCAGCTCGAGTGAGGCAGACCCGCTCACTCACCACAGAACTGCAATTCCTTGCATGTGAACAAACACCGTCCCACCAAAAATCGATGCTTGTAATTTACATAAAAGTGGGCTACTTCAGAGTGTGCATGTTCGCTAACTCCAGCAACATTCCTTACTTACTCTATCTGACACCTACATCCTTCTGGGGTTTGGATTTTGCTCTGAACTTTCACATGGGATGTGCTCCATCGGGTTTCTCAACTCCCAGAAAAAGGATTAATTCACATGGCTCACGAAGAGGCCTGAGCTTGTGCAAACTTTGCTTTATATGAGTGTCTCTCTCTGGAAGGCAGCATTTCCTGGCTTGGTGGTTTTGAACTTCAGAGTTGGGTCTGGTGCTTGGAGACAACACAGTTGGCTCTATGTGGGTGAGCTTGGGCTCTTTCTGAGGATAAGAGAAAGCCAATCCTCTAAAACAGAATTTCCCAAGGTGTGCGGCACATACCCTGGGGCAGGAGAGGTGATGAGGTGGCTCCCATCACAGCATCTCAATTCCTGCAATAAGACTAAGGAGAAGGTCTCAGTCTGTGGCTGCCGGCCCTGAACACTCTCTTCTCTAACACTCACCCTTCTCTCCTGTTCATGAAGATCAGGTCACAGGTTCACTCTCTTAACCTCTAGCTAGAATCGGATAATGTTGTTCTCATTGAATCCATTTCACAATAGCCTTTGCGTATGGCAGGTGCTCCTGTTTTTCCATTTATAGTCTACTGATATAAAAGTTTTCCTTTTAAGTAAATTCACTTATGTGACAAAAGGAGTTAATTTAACAAAAATATTAAGTTAATGATTCTTGTAAGAGAAAAATGGAGAGAGGTGATGTAGGTGGCCCTCTGTACCCAGAGTGGGCTCTGTGGGCACTTCTGGGGTGGCCCAGGGCATGTTCAGGGGCTCCTGAGTATCGTGCAGACCACCTTTCAGGATAGGTGCCCAATGCCCTGGAGACGTGGGGCTGCCCACTAGGGGCAGTGAGAGGTGGGGGTTACCTTGTCTGCCCCACACTCCGTGCCGTCCAGGGGAGGGTCCAGCTTGGTCTTGCAAGATGTATCTCCTTCCACCAGGCACCAAAGTCCAGCGCACATCAGATGCTGCTGACAAGGGAAGGAACATAACTACCGAGAACACCGCACGCAGGTCACAGCTGGGGTCAGAAGGTGGGGCCAAGTGACCATTTTGGATTTGGAATTTGAAATGTGACGGGGAGAGGGAAGGTCATGAATCTGAATGTCAAAAAAATAGGTGCATCATTTCAACTGGTTCATTTAGCTCAACAAAATTCCGTACATTTCCTCCTAGGAGGGCTTGTCTCGTGGGGATTCAGTTCAGCAGTTCCAGCACCGGCTACTGAAGGCCTAGGAGGTGTCTGGAGCAGGGCGCAGGCTGGGAGCCATTAACATACAGGCACCTTCCATTTATGTGGGAAGGTATAAGGCAGATACCCATGGGTCACACAGAGCACACAGCAAAAGAATCTCATCAAGTGAGCCTTATCATGGAGGGTAGCCGTTACACAGGCCCAAAGCGAGAGCCTGGAGGGTAATAAAGGGCTCAGGGTCCCCATGGGGTTAAAGAGGCAACCGCAATGCTCCCTGTGGTCACCTGTTTTCTAGCTCAACTGAGCTGTAATTTCTTATAGTATTTCACCTAGAGAATTTCTTAACATACACAAGTATACAATTAAAATAATTCTACTAAAACAGGAATAGGCATTTAAAAACACGGAGTCCCATTGTGTTAGTAGGAAACTTGGACATGGGCAAAGTGCTCAGAATGAGCACTTTATCAATTTACCAAAATAACTAAAGCAGACACGGCCAGTGTCCTCCTTGTCTGCCTCGGTCTTCCCTGCAGGACTCAGGGAGACAGTGTCCTCACATACGGCCTTCTGTTTCCTGAGCCTGCCTGCTGGAGGCCGTTCTCTGGTCACAGAGCAACCCTTGACCACAAGGATGGGGGCTGGATACTCCCGTCCCCCTGGGTGGGATGGCTCTGAGGCAAGTTCCACACGCCTCCTGGAGGGTCCCAGTGGGTGGCCCCGTTGCCCACATCATTGCCTGCCCACCAGTGCACCTTTCCTGACTCTCCTCCCCCTGCTCTCACTTCTCTGCGCCCTCACAGTGCTTCCTGGGATCACTTCCCAGATAAACTACTTGCACCCAAATCCTCGCCTCGTGGTCTGAAAATTGAGAACAGATGTACCTAAGGCTCTTTTAAAGACACAGTACTTCCAGGATGCCAAACCCAATCACGGCAAAAAGGCTCAGCTGGAGCGGGGAGATATCACCCTCCAGGCCGTGGCTGGGGGACCTGCGGGTGCATGTCAGGCAGGGTGAGCATCAGGGGTTCCCTTGCACAGCTCCAGGCAGTCACAGCAGACTCACAAAGGGTGTGCCCTGCTCAGTTCAGAGTCTAATGTTCCAAGTAATCTCAAACATCTGCATAGGATAGATGTGCAACTGTGCTGTCTAAAGGAAAAAGTGTTTAGAAGTTGAAGGGACAAAAATAAAAGAGAAAAAGGGAAGGAAAGCAGAGCTGGAGAGGCTTTGACAAAGCGCTAAGCCCACAGCTCTTACTCATTTTTCAAGTATCTCGGAGCTGCTCTGGCCCTTAAAGAAGTTGATGACTGAAGTAGAATACTGTGCATCTGGGTTCAGGAAAGCCCCCACGTTCCCATTATTGTTCATCTCTCAATGGAATGATAAAATGATGAGAGCCTGAGTGCAGCACCAGCTGGTCCCAGAAAGACTGACGGCACTTCATTAAATGTTTGATTTCATGCACTTTGACCCAAGAGCTCTTTGAGAGTGTGGTGTCAGTGAGTGGACACGTGTTCACGAGACAAGGCTGACCCGGGAAGTGAATTTATGGGGCAGGCGTGTTTGGGATTAGGAGACATAAGTGCCCCATCAGGAGACAGGGAAAGAAAGTGGTGTAAACTGTTTACTATGCACTTTATAGACAGCACTTTCTCATAAAACTTTTCGAATCATCAAAGAAAAGGAGAATGAGGTCAGGCAGAGATTTTTGAACAGAACACAAAAAGTACTAACCATAAAGGGAAAAATTAATGAATTACACTATATTAAAATGAAGATCTTCTGTTTACCAAAGGACAACTGTAAGGAAGTGAGAGAAGATATGTGCAATACATGGGAGAGATATCTGCAACGTACAGAACAAACAAAGGATTTGCATCCAGAATATAACTTAAAAAAAACTCCTGCAGATCAATTAGGAAAATGATCCAGTAGAAAAACAGGCAAAAGACTTGAATAGACTCTTCACAAAAGAGAATATCCAAACAAATAGGATGGCCAATAAACACATGAATAGGGGCTCAAGTTTCATTCGTCACTGGGGACAGGCAATCAAACCCAGAACTAGACACCTCTACAAACCACCAGAATGGCTAGAATGAAAGCGATGGAGAACACCAAGTGTCAGCAAGGATGTGGTGTGATAAGAACCCTCTCAAACTAATGACGAGATTGCTTGGCTCAACAATTTTGGAAAACTCTTTGGCAGTGTTTACTAAAGCTGAAGACATGCACATCCTAATACTCAGCAGTTCTACTCCTAGTATGTGTCAAACAGAAATGTGTGTATATGTTCACCAAAAGCAGTGTCAAGAATGCTCATAGCAACAGTATTTGTATTAGTCCCAAAGTTGGAAACAACCCAAATGCCCATCAACAACAAAACAGATAAATTACAGTCTGGTAGAAAAATGGAATATGATATATTCCATTTATATGAAGTTCAAAACAAGTAAGAGACGGGGCCAGCCCAGTGGCACAGCGGTTAACTGCACATGTTCCACCTCAGCAACCCGGGGTTCACTGGTTCGGATGCCAGATGTGGACATGGCACCACGTGGCAAGCCATGCTGTGGCAGGCATCCCACATGTAAAGTAGAGGAAGATGGGCATGGATGTTAGCTCAGGGCCAGTCTTCCTCAGCAAAAAGAGGAGGATTGGCAGCAGATGTTAGTTCAGGGCTAATCTTCCTCAAAAAAAACCAAAAAACAAGTAAGAGAAAACTATAGTGTTGAGAGTCAGGATAGTGGTTCCCTTTTGTTCAGCTTAAAAACAAAGGCAAGGGGGATGAGCAGGAAAGGTGACTTTAGAATGGCAGCTTCTGACCCCGCATGGCTATCGGCATTGTTGTGTGCTCAGGCCAAGCACTTGCCCTTCCGTGATTAATTTTCACTACTGGAAAAATGGGGTGGACCACACTAACGTTATGTCATGTGATGCCTTCGAGATGGAAGGTGGCATTTGTGTCATGCTTTACAAATGACAAGGCACTCTAACATCTGTTATCTTGGGGCTTGTAACAACCACAGGAGGCAGGTAGGATGGGGCTTTCTCTATTTTCTCCCACTTTTCCAATGAGGAGGCAGATGTTGGTGGAGGTCAAGGGCCCTGAGCTGGGTCAGAAGCATAGGACTTGGAGTTCACTTATCAAGATTCATATCCTGGTTCTTGACCCATGCATTGGTTCCACAGGTGTGTTCACTTTATAAAAACTAATCAAGGTGCAAACTTAGGATTTGTGTACGTTTTGTATGCATACTCTTCTTCGATAAAACTATTATTTATTCAGGAAAAAAGAAAGAAACGCATGCTCAGACGTGATAAAAGATTTCCTGGATACAACGTGTCACAAGGTAGAAGGAGGTAAATCAGCACTTCACAAGGAAATTATAAGGATAAACCATACGGGTAGGAAGTCAGACTTCAGAGCAGGAGAAAGACTCCATGTGGTAAGCAGTCTTGTAACTGCTGTTATCTGTAGGCTGGGATACACACAAGTGTGTGCATGTACACACACATACACACACTCCTCTCATAAGGAGAATTCCTGCTAGCCTGGAGAGAGCCCTGGATCTCTCCAACAAGACCATCCTATGAATAGCTGATCCAGCAAGAACTCAGAAGTGAATAATAGTAGAAAAGGATCAGCACAGGATCTATACTAAGACAGCACAAATGAAAAAGGGAGAAGGAACAGGAGAGAGACAGCAGGTAAAGAATACTCACCCCATAATATGGTCAGAGAATGGCTAAAAATAATGTCCAAGCGTGTGGCCATTAATTTTTTTAAAATACAGTAATTGTACCTTTTATTTTTTCATTTGCAAAAAGCAAATACACAAGAACTCAGGGAAAAGATGGTCAAGTCAAAGGAGATAAAATATTAACTATCAGACTTTGTCAAGAAATGTAAGAGAAAATAAAACCAGACGACCAACACTGAAAGCAGCATGAAGGTGAAGAGAGAGACCACTGAACACAGAGGGAAGTACTTTGAGTTGATGACCGAGAAAAAATAAAGAAAATGGAAATGAACAAATAACTCAAAAAAGATTAAGAGGAAATGACATATGGAAGATACGTAAAGGAGATCTGACATAAGCATAGGTGGGAGGCAGGTAGGATGGGGTTTTCTCTATTTTTTCTGCTTTCCCAAGGAAGAGGCAGATGTTTGCAGAGATCAAGAGCCAGGAGCACAGGACTCCTAAAGAAGAGAACTAAAGTAATGGAACAAAAAAAGTATTGGATATAAATTCAAGATCCTATCCTGAAATGAAAGAAGATCTCAGTCTCAGACTGAAAAGCAAAGCCCTGTTCCAGGACAAATGGCAAAGAATGATGAACACAGGCACGTCCTGATCAAGTTACTGGATTTCAGAGATAAAGCAAAAAATATTTTAGGCAGCCAGGCAAAAAAATCAGGTTACATGCACATTTCTTCACAGCAGCATTGACTGTCAGACGTCAGATGGTAGCAGAACAATGGGTAGAAAGACACAAGGGAAGAAAATGCTACTTGGGAGGTTATATCAACTAAACTGTTGCTCAAGTATTTAGGTAACAGAAAAACATTTTTATTTCTTAAAGATTGGCACCTGAGCTAACAACTGTTGCCAATCTTCTTTTTTTCTCCTGCTTTTTCTCCCCCAATCCCCTCCCCCAGTACATAGTTGCATATTTTTTAGTTGTGGGTCCTTCTAGTTGTGGCATGTGGGATGCTGCCTCAGCATGGCCTGATGAGAGGTGCTATATCTGAGCCCAGGATCTGAACCGGC